GAATGACTGGGAGTTCAAAGTGAGTGAAATGGTGTCTTTTGGCAATTACGATGCCTTAATGTGATCACAGAACTGCAGTGTTAATCTAATTCTGTGTTTCAGAAATGTGTCAACAGCAAGGGCGTCTGGATAGTTTTGGTTTTTTGCCAACAGTTGGTTTGTGCGAGTTTGATTTACTCACAGACGTTCTTGATCCACGCTTTCGTCATTTGATTTTAATAAATGCTAAGTTCATTTGCTGTAGTGTTTGGCAGGCCAAGAGGTACTACCAAGACTTACAACACTGTAGAGCAGCTGGTGTGTCCCTGTTCTAACATCTGTAAACCGTATTAAGTGGAATCACCAAGCAGAGAGGAATATTCCTTCCTAAAATCCATGTATACTTATATACGCATATATTAAAATATTTATTTATAGGTATAATATTTATATAGAAGTATAAAAAACTTGTAATAGCCTTAACTTCACATTCTTAGAAGTTTCATTGCATTGATCCATACAGTTGTGTCAGAGGCTCACAGAATATGGAGTTCATCTTCATCATGTGTTGCCCGAGAAGAGATCCCAAACAGGTATCCTTCTGGGAGTGTGCTCCAAAGGAGTTGTTATTTTTGAAGTTCACAACGGTGCCCGCACACCTGTACTACGCTTCCCTTGGAGAGAGACAAAGAAAATATCCTTTAGTGTAAGTCAGTCTCTTTTCCTCTGTCTGTGTGTACATCTCTGTATTTGTATGTTCAGATACTGGTTTTATGCGTTGGTTATTTTTGCAAACTAAGCTGCTGGTTTGCAGTGTGATCTATCTACAGTTTGTGTTGCTGAGCTGTGTCGTATTATGGGATTGAAGTAGGAGTTTTGATGTTTTAAAGATTTTTTTGATTTTTTTTTTTTTCTTATTAGCTAGCATTCTATGCTGCTGAGGTTCCAGCCTCAGGAAAGAGTTTAGCACCTGTGTTTTGGTAGATCTCTATTGATGTGAAATGTAGCTTCCTTATCTTCTAAGGAGAGAGTTATTATGAAGATAAATCAAGGGCTACTCTTAGCATGGGGAGAAGCTCTGCCCATGCTGCCATGTGGGAAACGGACAGTGAAGGAGCACTAGAGTGAGAATTTTGTATTAGAGGACTGGGTGCTGGCAAACACCGGTACTCGGTGTAACTGGAAGATGCACCCGTGTTGCTTTTAAATTGTTATATTTCCAAGAGTAGTTAGGTTAGACAATAATGGGTGACAGGGGCTGACACTCAATCTGGACAATACCAGCCAACTTTAGTGGGTACACCATAACCCGGTGGGCATGTGTCAGTTTTTAATGAGGTGTTGAGCTTGAAATGCCTACCTTTCTACAGGTATTGAAAACAGTACTTCTAACTCTGGTACCTTCTTGAAAAGCTACAGTCTGTTTCATCTGTGATATGATCTAACTAGAATTGGTAAACTGAAGTTTAAAAATTACTGAAAAGATAAATTTAAGACCTGGAACAATAACTGATAGATTTCATTATTAGATGGGCATCTAGTTCTTTTTCTCTTGAGTGGCAGCACCCCTGTGACTTTCTTGGAGGCTTTTGAAAAATCCATCCTGCAAAATGTAATGGTACTGGTTGTCATTAGTCAACACTAACAGTAACAGAGGCAAATTGAATAATAATAAAGTACCATCTCAGATAACCCAGAATTAGCTTTAAAGTGCTGCTTTGTAAATCTCAAATTACTTTCAACCCCCGATTTAACAGAAATCTCTTCCATCAGTGCAGTTTGCTTCAGGAAAGTTTGAATGCTGTAACTGTGCACAAGCAAATACAAAATTCTTTGTAGGCTAAAAGAAATTATTATCTCCAACTTTCTTCTTTCTCCATTGTGTAGAAGAAGAAAATAACTTTGCAGAACACGTCAGATGGTATCAAGCATTCATTTCAGACTGACAATAGTAAGACTTGCCAGTACCTTTTGCATCTCTGCTCTTCCCAGCATAAGTTCCAACTACAGATGAGAACCAGGCAGAGCAACCAAGACACTCAGGACATCGGTAAGGACTGTAATGCTGTGTTGTTTTTAACAGCAATATATTTGTCTTTTTGTAAGGAGAAAAACTTAACTTGAGCTTCGGTAATGCTGCTGAGTGCTACATACGTGTAGCTCTACATTTGGAGGGTTTGTACTATAAAGAGAATCTACTGGCTTTGTTTATGTTTTGTTTAAGGGGGAGGAAGAAAAGAGTTGGCAGATCACAGGGCTGGCACACAGCAGCTCCTCTAAAATAAAAGAAATCTAAGAAGAGGTCACTGAGAGTGCTTTCCCATTTAATTAGTGACTCTTGGCTTTTTTCAGAAAGAACTTGAGGATATTTCAATAGGGTTTTTACCTTTTGCTTAATGTGAAATGAATTGGTTTGATAATGTGGAATTACAGATACAATAAATTGTGATCATCCCTCACATGATCACACTACAATAGGGAGCATTTCATGATGCTGCATCTGTAAGCTGTGGGTGTAGCTGTCTTTGTTCCACTTCATGTTTGGTGGACCTAGTAAGAAACAACACTGATGCTAGTCAGTTTTCTTCAGAATTGCCATCTAATTTATGTGCATAATAGAAAACGTAAAGGTGTTCTTTTAGACAGAAAATACTCATCAAAGAATGCAGTCATTGAAAAACCCTCTGTACTAATTTGTGCGCTGTTTGGAGCAGAGCTTACTTGGCTGGCTGGCCTTCCGTGCAGCCTGGAAGTGCTATTTTGGTCAGACTGCCTGCTCGTTCTTTCTTTGTTGCCTGTTTTTATCTGTCTGCATTCCAGTTGCTGGTAATCCAGACTTCCAGCAGCAGAGTTTGACCCCATTGCTGTGGAGATTGTGATCTCTAATTAAAAAAAAAAAAAAAAAAAAGAGGGGGTGGGGAAAGGCATGTGGCAACTATGCAGCTTTTTTTCTGTTCTGTTGGGCTCAACCAACTTACTGCAAAGAAATAGGACCAAGTGACTTAAAGCCTTTGGACCGTTCTCTGACTTAGTACTTGCTTATCCTGAATTGCAAAGAAAAGGAGTACATGAAAGGCTTTCTTGGCTAGGCAAACTTCCTTGCTCTTGTGTTTTGGAAGTCCGGAAAATAAGAGTTTGCTTCTGTGCAGTGCAGATCACTTGGAATTCAGAGGCCCCAAATTTTGTGAATCGTTTGTAATCAGAAGCAAATAAATCAGTGTTACAGTTAATTCCATTACACTTAGTTATTACAAGTGAAAACAATTCAAACAAAAAGTTTGCTTTTGGCATAATTTTACTGATCTAAATTGATTAGCATATATATGCATATAGCCAGTAGAGTTACTAGAATAATATTTTTTTAAAAGAAAGTATTGTAATACAGGTAAGAGAAAACAGTGATGAAGCAGCTAGTCAAAATGGCATGTTTATTATAAGTACTGCTTTTCTTTTGTTAGAACAGTGAAATCCCAGGCATTATTCTTGGCCTGCAGTAGCATCAAGTATTTAATTTTTTTTTTTCAGAGCCCTTTAAATGTCAGTAAAAACTGGTGGTTGGAAGCACTCAGCAGAACAGTAAAGAAAAGGGCAGGTGACAATGTTAGTAACTCAAGGCTGATCACCACAGGATGTGGGTGTTTTGAAGGTTCCTTGCTTAAGGACTGATTCCGAGTTTAACAGCACAGTGAACACAAGCATGTGCCTATAATGCTCGCAGTGTTCGTGGGGTAGAGCAGCAGACTTGAGAATATTAACGTGATTTGAAAGATTCTTTAGAAATACAGTATTACAGTGTCTTGCAAGAGTCACCTTGATTTCAGCCAATGGATGGAGAAAATATGTTGAGAGAAGGGAGAAGCCCTGGCGTGCGTAGTTACGGTGAACAAATTTTCATGGAACATAACAGGGGATGAGCACTTCATAGCCCCTGTGATGTACCATGACATGTCTTTCACTTGTTGCACAATGTCTTTAGTGACCTGGGAGAAACTTTTCTAACACATGTAAATCTAATGGAAAGAATTAGGCTTGGAAAATAAAAGGAAAATGCCTCTTGAATAACGTTCTTTCTGCATGAATAAGATGAGACACAAGGTTAAAAAAAAAAAAGAAAAAATACTAGTGATTTTATGGAACATGAGAAAGGAGATAAGCTATAACATGAGGAGTGGTGGTTTCTTTTTTGCACAACTTCTGTGGCCGTGCAGTGAACAGAACCAATCGCTGGGTTTTAAGATGGATGTTTGGATTCCTGAAAGAGCATAGAGAAAACCACAAAGATGAAGTGAGGGTTAAGTCAGCCTTATGAAGGACGAGTTTTGAGCACGTGAAAATTTTCAGTTAAGGAATTGGAAGAAGATTTGAAAGGCCTAATGTTTAGATAGATGGTGATGTGAAAATGTTTATCTGAAATCCATAAGGAGATGCTGTTTGGTGTTCGCAGAGGGTAAGTACGACATCAAGAGAATAGATCTTGGAATATAAAATGGGAACATGACAAGAGCAAGTGTCATTGATAGCTTCTGTCAGAGTCAGGAAACTGAGATTTGCGGATCTCTGATCTGATGGAGCAAAACCATTCTTATGTAGCTCATCTAGTCTGCCTGGTGATATATAAAAATACTTTGGCATTTAGTAAAGCTAATGGATGATGTGTACCAAAAACTAGCATTTTCCTTTCGAGTTACAGTGCAGCTTCCTGAAGCAGCTTGTATGTAGATTTTTAAAAAACACTAGTTAACCCTAAATCAGAAATATATATGCAGTTAAGGATTGCTTTTCCTCAGACTTCCCTGTGAACTGACTCCAAGACATCAGTGAAGTTGATGAAGGGTTCAGATGGCCCAATTTCCTTTAAAGGCTCTAACCATCAAACATGTTGCCACAGCTTATCGAGTTTCTGTGCAAGAGCCAAGCCACAGGAACTTAACTGCTAGCCTTAGGAGGCAGTTAGGCTAACAGAAATGAGGCCTGTTCAGCTTTGCTCTGAATTAAGAGGAGTTAGGCTCAGTTGTATTATCTTCTACTTGCTTTCAGCTAAGAACATCCGCCCAGACAGTTCCCACGGCTCAGCTGACAGTAGTTTAATTACAATCCAAAACCTGTTTTGCTCTGCTGCTTAAGGGAATCCTAGTCAAAAAGTCTGGCAAACTCCAGTCAACACTGTCTGTTCTGTGCTAAAACATTCAGAATGTTTCTGGCAGGATAAGTCCTCAAGTGCACCTGAGTGAACTGGTGCTCTTTAACCAGGTAGAGATCCTGCCAGTCCCCCATGACTTGGCAGCTGTACTGTAAGTGTGTCAGGAACTCGTGAAGAAAACTAAGCAATGGATGGAAGTTTGGCAGGATCTGATAGTGTAGACGTGAGGGAGCCCTATTTGTTCGAATTCTGGAAAAGACTTGTATGAACAGGTTATAGGAAGTGTAGTCTTCCAGGTCACTTGGCTTGAGGATATTATTTGCTTTGCAGAAAGAGGTGATGTGCCTGTGTATAAGACACAGCAGTTTAACCGGGAATATGAGTCTTCATACTAATAAGGGGATAAATATTCTGCTATTCTGTGCTTTTGGATTTCAGTGTAGTAGATGGTCAGGTTAGTGTAATGTCATGAACTCCAGCCTTTGCTTCCTGAGCAAGCTACATGGTGGTTATTTATACATACCTGAAGATGGAACATACATCTGAACATCTAGAGAAAATAAGCTTTGTGTAAGCTGGTTGTTTAGAATGCTTGCTTTAGACAAGAAGGGCACACTAGCTCTGCTGTATAACTTAATTTTTTTTGTTTTGTTTAAAAAACAATTTCACAGAAAGGGCGTCATTTAGGAGCCTAAATCTTCATGCAGACTCTGTCAAAGGTTTCAACATGGGACGAGCAATCAGTACTGGTAGCCTGGCCAGCAGCACTTTGAACCGACTTGCCGTTCGACCTCTGTCTGTTCAAGCAGAGATTCTGAAGAGGCTGTCCTGCTCTGAGCTGTCGCTCTTCCAGCCGCTTCCTGGCTCTTCAAAAGACAAGAACGAAAAGACTCCGTGGGAGGAAAGACCCAGGGTTATGAGCAAGTCATTTCATGATCTGAGTCAGAGCCACATCTCAGTTTACCCCCCAAGGAAAAATATAATTACTGCTTTGGACTCTTCCCCCCAAAAAATAGAAGATATAATGGGCAGAGTCTTCCAGCAAATGCCAAAATTTGATACCGGATCAGCAGCAGGAGCACTAAAACTGAGCAAGTAAGAGTCTCTCTGACTGCCCTGCAGTATTTTTATGTACAGTCAATGTACATTTTGCATCAGTTTTGATTTATTATTCATACCATTATTTTATTACATTGATCCTTCCCTTCCCTCTCCCAACTTCCTCTTCCCTCTGTCTGGTTCCCCTTCTCTCCTTCTCCTCTTTAAGTTCAAAATCTCATGCAGGTTTGAGTAGAAGCCCTGAAAGAAAGAAAAACGAATCAGACTCATCATCCGTTGAAGATGCCGGTCAAGCCTATGTTGTAGGTCAGCATGCAAAAAATGATATTACTGTATTTACTAAGTAACCTTTGAAATGGCTTTGGGTGTAATGCTTTGATATATTTATTAACGGATGGTAATATTTCAGTTTGAAAAAGGGAGTAGAGTGTTACATGTTAATGTAACCCAGGCCAATTGCCTGTTGTTTCTCAATAATTGTTGCAGTGAATCAAAAAAACCTTCCTCTGGACAACGCCAGTCTGTACACAGATGTGCAAAGTATGGGTACTTGATAGTGAAAGCTGTTCCAGAAAACATCTTCCATTATGTCACTCCAGAGTGCTGTTTTATTGTATGGATCTTTTCATAATTTGCTCATCTTCACAGTCTTAGACTTAAACTGGGACGTTCGGTTATTGTACATTAATTTATAATATCTGTGTGTCATCAGTTTCTGGTTGTAGGAGGTTCACTGTTTTAATAATAGAAACTACAATGACTGAAATATTTGCAGCCTTAGCCTGCTTTTGTTGCTTTGCTTTCGCTTCGTATTAAACTATCCATTAGTTACAGAACATCAGAAGAAGTGGAAGAAGGGCAAGTCTATGGGGGTCTGTATAAACAAACTCACAAAAAAAACCCACCAACCCAAAAAAATCAACCAAAACAGAATGTGACCTACAAACACTTACCACATCTGCCCCCACTGCACTGGAAACCAGGACTGACTTGGGAACCATGCTTTTTCAGTACTGAGAGCGTAAGCTCCTGAAGATTGGAATGAGGCGTGTAGTCTCTGTAACGACTAGTTGCAGCTGTTGCTCCTGTGTTTTTAGCTTTACAATTAACGTTATCATGTGCTTACCCATAGTCTTCTGAGCAGCAATTCTGATA